TCATTCCTTTTCATTCCTTTTCATTCCTTTTCATTCCTTTTCATTCCTTTTCATTCCTTTTCATTCCTTTTCATTCCTTTTCATTCCTTTTCATTCCTTTTCATTCATTTTCATTCATTTTCATTCATTTTCATTCATTTTCATTCATTTTCATTCATTCTCATCCCCATTCTCATTCTCATTCCCATTCCCATCCCCATTCCCATCCCCATCCCCATTCCCATTCTCATTCTCATTCTCATTCCCATTCTCATTCCCATTCCCATTCGCATTCTCATTCTCATTCTCATTCTCATTCCCATCCTCATCCTCATTCTCATTCCCATTCTCATTCTCATTCTCATTCCCATTCTCATTCTCATTCTCATTCTCATTCTCATTCCCATTCTCATTCTCATTCTCATTCATTCATTCTCATTCATTCATTCTCATTCTCTCTCATTCATTCTCATTCTCATTCTCATTCTCATTCTCATTCTCATTCTCATTCTCATTCTCATTCTCATTCTCATTCTCATTCTCATTCATTCATTCTCATTCTCATTCCCATTCTCATCCTCATTCTCATTCTCATTCTCATTCTCATTCTCATCCTCATTCTCATTCTCATTCTCATTCATTCATTCTTTCTTTCTTTCTTTTTTCTTTCTTTCTTTCTTTTTTCTTTCTTTCTTTCTCATTCATTCATTCATTCAGTCAGTCAGTCAGTCAGTCAGTCAGTCACTCACTCTCACTCACTTACTCACTCACTCACTCACTCACCCACTCACTCACTCACAAACTAACTAACCGCCTAACTAACTAATTAACACACAAACATAACAAACTAACTAATTAGGTAACTAACAAAGTAACTAACAAAGTCATTAGCGAAGTAACTAACTAGCTCGCTAGCCAACTGGCTCACTAGCTAGCTAGCTGACTAGCTAAGTAGCAAACTAGCTAACGAGATAACGAGCTATCTAGCTAACTAGGTAACTAGCTAACCGACGGAAACACGAAGACAAGCAGAAAAAACACGGATTCCATGGCACCATTGTTGCCTGATGCCGAGGCGGATTGAGCTAAAAAGGCCAATGTCAGTCGAGGCTGGCTTCGTTCTCCAGTCATATCAAGATCTGCCATGGATTGCCATGGTGTTGACAACATTGTGCTGAGAGAGGCAAAGCCTTTGGCAGAGCAAACGGGGTAGTCAGTGTGTAATACTATCCCTGTTTGGTTTGCGGCATGTTATCATGTTTTGCTCTTTTGAGATCATGAAACCATGAAACCATGAAGTTCGTTTTTGTTTTAGTTTTTGAGTCGATTGATTTGTCGTAGCCTCATTGGCCCGAGAGACCGGGACCTGCTCGAAGAAGATAGAGATGCTGAGCAGCTGGGCAAGGCGAGTGCTGGGTGGGGATGAGGACAAGCCGAGCTCATCCGGAGTATCCGGTGCGGAAGGAAGTGAGCCGCCGAAACTGCCGGTGACATCTCGTGCCTTGAGGAGAAATGTTGGAAATGATGTTGATGAGAGTGACAAGGCCTCTGAAGCATCCGAGCTCTCACCTCTGAGAGGTGCAGAGACGCCCGGCTCACGGCGGCACGGAGTGGAGTGCAACCCTTGCGCTTGGTATTGGAAGCCTCAAGGCTGCATGCGAGGTAGTGAATGTGGATACTGTCATCTCTGTCCTGAAGGTGAAGTGAAACTTCGAAAAAAGGTAAAGGTGGCAGCCATGAGAGGTGTAGCCAGTCCCGCATCTACCACGTCAAGCCTGTCGCCTACAAAGTTTCAGAAGGAGGAGGCAGATATAGAGGTACCTGACCGTCAGCCCAGCATGTCAGTTGGAGCAACACTGCATGGGACTGGTGAATGTAAGCCTTGTGCGTGGTTCTGGAAGCCAAAGGGCTGCCAGAACGGCGAGGAGTGCCGCCATTGTCACCTTTGCCCACTGGGTGAAATCCGACAGCGAAAGAAAATGAAAGATAGACTTGCTCGGGAAGGCGGTTACAGTCAGGAGGACCTCATGATGCCAATGGAGCCACTGAAAGTGGAGATTCCAGGCGCAGCAGGCATATCTCCGACATTTGAATCTTTGGAATGTGAGGAACCCCAGAAGGTGGCGCCATCTCCTACTTCGCAACCAACCGATGCAGCCATTGCGCCACCCCCAGGGTTGGCTCCAGCTACAGGTGTGCCTTCATTGGGTTCTGCCTCGCATGGCACGGGGCTTTGCCGTCCATGTGCTTGGTTGTGGAAGCCCGGAGGGTGTCAGAATGGCGTAGAGTGCCGCCATTGCCATCTCTGCCCGGAGGGTGAGCTAAAGGCTAGAAGGAAGGTGAAAGCTGATCTCGCAAGGCAAGAGTCTTTGGAGCAGGAAATTGCCTCATCCCCACTGGCTTTGAGCTTGGCCCAGATGCTAGAGGAGGAGGATGATGCAAAGTACCAGGTAGAGATCAGTCCTTTCATGATGGGCACTGAAAGTGCTGATGCGGCA